TAATTCGTATAAAACATCCAAAACATATAATATAATAGCATGGAACAATAAAAAATTATAGATACGTTGGAGACGTATCACAAAGCACCTCTCACATTGCAAGAAAAATCAATCTAATTGGCCAAATCACATCAATAGATCGGAGAGAAATACAAAGCTATCTTAGTCGTGCATGAAAGAGTTCAGAGAAGAATCAAATAATACTCATAGATAATCTGATCATAAACCCACAATTCGTTGGATCTCAACAAACACACCACAAAAGAAGATTACATCAAATAGATCTCCTAGAACATCAAGGAGAACATTGTATTGAAGATCAAATAGAGAGAAGAAGCCATCTAGCTACTAGCTATGGACCCGTAGGTCAGTAAGGCTGATGTAGAAGCCCTCCGTGATCGAATCCCTCTCCGGCAGAGTACCAGAAAAGGCCCCAGATGGGATCTCACGAAGAAAGAAACTTGCAGCAGCAGAAAAGTACTTTTGGTGTGCCCTCTGGTCTACAGGGAATATTTGGGTATTTTATAGAATAAAAATAGGGTTGAAGGAGATCACCCCTGAGATTGTGGCTATCCCATGGCTCTTTTGGCCTCCTCCCGAAGCTTCCAGGGTGTCTTGTGGTCCAAGAAAAATCGTCAAAAAGTTTCGTTCCATTTGGTATTGATTTTCTGTAAAGACAAAAACAAGGAAAAATCAACAACTGGAACTGGGCATTAGGTTAATAAATTAGTCCTGAAAAATGATATAAAATAGCATAATAATGCATATACAACATCCAAGATTGATAATATAATAGCATGGAACAATAAAAAATTATAGATACGTTGGGGACATATCATATGCCTCGGAGTTACACTTCCGTAGGATTTGTTCCTGTTCATGCTCAGGTACACAATGCCTAATAATACCATCTACTCTTTTTATATATATATGTGGGTCATCCCAAAACTAATGTCTTAAATCAAAGAAGAAACATATCTTTTGTTGATATGGGAAACTAGGTAGTATATATTTAGCAACAATGTAATTAGCATAGTCCACATACCAAGGAGTATTACGAGAAGCATTTATAACAAATAATTGTTCATCAGGAAAACTATCATCAATAGGCAGTGGGTCATTAAGAACATTTTCCATTCTAGACAGATTATCAGCTACGGGATTCTCAGCTCCCTTTCTATCAATAATATGAAGTCAAATTCTTGTAGCAGAAGGACCCACCTAATAAACCTAGGTTTAGCATCTTTCTTTTCCATAAGATATTTAATAGCAGCATGATCGGTGTGAACAATTACTTTAGAATCAATAATATAAGATCTAAATTTATCATATGCAAACATAACTGCTAAAAAATCTTTCTCAGTAGTAGCATAATTTGTTTGAGCATTGTCTAGAGTTTCACTAGCATAATGATAACATTTAATTTCATATCAACTCTTTTTCTTAGAACAACACCAACATCATAATCACTGGCATCACACATAATTTCAAATGATAAGTTCCAATCAGGTGGTTGAACAATGGGTGTAGAGATTAAGTCTTTTTTAAGTATTTCAAAGGGTTCTACATAATCATCATAAAAAAATGGAACATCTTCTTGCAAATGATTAGTAAGAGGCCTAAAAATCTTGGAGAAGTCTTTAATGAATCTCCTGTAAAAACCAGCATGATCAAGGAAACTTCTTATACCTTTAATATCTTTAGGACATGGTATTTTCTCAATTAAATCAACTTTAGCTTTGTCTACCTTAATACTCTTTCAGAATTTTTATGCCCAAGTACTATACCTTCATTGACTATAAAGTGACACTTCTCTCAATTCAAGACAAGATTAGTTTATTCACATCTCTGCAAAAATCGATCAAGGTTGTTTTAGCAATCATCGAAAGAAGTCCAGTAAATGAAAAAAATCATTCATGAATACCTCAACAATCTTTTCACAAAAATCAGAGAATATAGCAGTCATACATCTTTGAAAGGTAGCAGGTGCATTACATAAACCAAAGGGCATACGTCTATAAGCATAATTTTCAAAAGGACAGGTAAAAGTAGTTTTATGTTGATCTTCTTTTGACACAAGTATTTGAGAGAAACCAGAGTACCCATCAAAGAAACAGAAGTGTGTATGTTTAGACAATCTTTCTAACATTTGATCAATAAAAGAAAAGGGTAATGATCTTTTCTAGTAGTTTTGTTTAATTTTCTGAAATCAATTACCATCCTATAACCAGTTATAATTCTTTGTGGGATGAGTTCATTTTTATCATTAGGAACAACAGTAATGCCTCATTTCTTAGAAACACAATTCTTTGTGGAGCCAACGTCTTACGGAAGGGTTTATATAGTCTACTAAAACCTTAATTTTAGCTATGTTTTCCCTATGTATAGTGTACTGTATATGAAATATACCTAAGTATACAAGCTTTTCCCTGAAATAATGGGTGTACAAATGGTCACCCATATCCTCAGCTACCCCCGCCCATGTGCGCCGGCTACTGCATCAAGTGACGCACTCTCCGATGCTCTCACCAAACAAAGATCCTCCATCTCTGTGTAATTGTTGGTTCATTTTCTAAGTTTTTCTTGGCTAGCATTGAACTCCTCCTCCTCAAGCTTTTCCACATCATCATTACGGTCACCCCTCTTCCACCTCCGCTTCTATACTCGAATCGGATTGGTCATGTAGAGCACTCATTATGTTCACCTCGTTCTTCTCCAACAAATCTGCATATGATGTATGAACATACCTTCAAAATCCAAAGGACGAAACACTAAGCAAACGAATCAAATTCAGCACACACCGGTAAAAAGGGAATTTTTATACCTCTCCGGCGTTTCCTCGAACATGTTGTGGATGCCGGTGAAGTGGTCGGTATCGCGTGGTACATAAGCCGCTTGATTGGGTGGAGGAGGTGCTTGTCCTTGAGACACCACCGCCTTCTTCCTCGGGCCCTTGGCTTGTGATTTCGGCCGTCTGCCGAAGAGGGTGGAGGAGGTGCCCATGCTCGAGCCAGCCACCGAGACCGGAGGGGGAATGGTGGAAGAAGTTGGCGGGGCGGGGATGGCTCCATGGACGACGTGGTTGCCTGTCGCTTCCACTTCATGCTGATGGTGGAAGAAGTTGGTGCGGCGATGGGGAAGCCGACCGCAGGATGCACGGAAGGTCGAAGCGGCACCAATGGGGTTGGCGAGGCATGAAAACCGACGAGCGGTGGCTGCGGGTGCTCCATGCCGTCGATTGGGGGTGCGGTGACACGAGAAGGCGTGGGGCCGGGGAGATCGGCCGCGATGGCGGCTGGGGGAGCAAGGAGCAGAAACGTCCCTCCTGCCAACTCATGAGACAGGGGAAATGGGAGGAGGGGGGGGGCTAACATATGCGGCAGGAGCGCCAAAATGGCAAAATATACCACTGCCATAAAAAAATGAGTGAATTCCGGTTTTTACCCCCTATTTTGACTTTTTTGACACTAATTACCCTATTTAGCGGGATTTCATCCGTTTTACCCCATTTAGCACAAGTGTTGCCACAATTTACCCTCTTTTAAATTTTGCGTGTGTTCTGACCTACGGGTCACAATTTGTCAGGTCTAGCTGGCATGCCACGTCAACGGGTTTTTTCTGTCTATTTTTCTCCCTACTAAACTCATTTCCGGTTTGAAGTATTCTGATGGGACGATTGTACTTGATCAGCATGTCATATTACCATTGAATAAATTATAGGAGAAATTGTTACCAATATAATCTAAAATCATGTATGTTTTTCTTCAGTTATCATATATGGCCTTAAGTATGGATGGTTCTGTAGATTAGATTAAAGTGGTGTAAATATACTACTTTACTAACTCTGATGCACCTACATATCTAAATATCTAGGTAGCGAATATGTTGACTGAAGAGTATGTGTTGTTACTTGCTAGCTGTAAAGGAAGTTTGGATCTTTGTATCTTATGATGCATGCTGAAACGTGTTCGTTCACCGTATTAGAGTATATTATGATTGCAGCCACTAATTCATTTTTCTTTTTCTTGCACAAAGCGGATGGCAACGGAGATGTAGAGTGTTAGGCATATTTTACATGTCCGTGGATACAAGAATCCAGAGCCAGAGATGATTGAGAGGTATTTCATTATTTATTTTGATATAAAGGAGAAGATGAAGGAATTGGGTTCCAACCCTTGGGACAGCGCTAATTATCAGAAGAAGGGGGCCAACGGGAACTCCATGATTGAGTTAACAGATGATGCAGGCATGGTGAACATGCTAGAGGAACTTGATGCTTATAAGAAAATTAGTTTGAATGTTAATTGGGGGAGAGCAACACAAACGAGAAGCCATGGAAGGCGAGCGTGGCGCGCGGCCGACTTGGACGTTGGACGTGCCGCGAGCGACCTCCATCGGCTGAGCCGGTCAGAAGAAGCGGCGCTGCCCAGTTCAGCAGTGAGAAAAATAGCCAGGAAAAACCACTGACGTGGCATGCCAGCTGGACCCGACAATTGTGACCCACTAGTCAGAATGCTCAAAAAAATTAAACAGGATAAACTGTGGCAACATTTTTGCTAAATGGGGTAAAATGGATGAAATCTTGCTAAATGGGGTAATTAGTGTCAAAAATGTTAAAATAGGGGGTAAAAACTGGAATTCACTCTAAAAAAATCGGGACGGACCATTTCGCAGGACCTGCGCCGGGCGATTTTTCTCCCGGTCCGATAAGCGGTTATTACAGTGGCTGGGGCGTTTTGCAGGATGTGATAGAGATGCTCTAAAGCGACAGTTTGGGACTGTGTTTGCGGCAGGGGTTTAACCGTGTGCGACGGACGGTTCTCCCCACTGTCCTATATATAGGTCCCTGGTCTCGCTTCCGAGCTCCTCCGTAGAAGCCCGATTTGTTTGACGTAGCCAGTGCCCAGTGGCGCAGTGGTAGCTAGCGAGCGAGCGTGTGCCACGACTCCATCACAAGCTATACGTACGTGTCTAAGCTAGCATCTATCTCTAGGTCGACCATGCTGGCCTTCGCCGAGGGCACGAGCTGCACGACCACCGATCCGCCTCTGGCGGACAGCTACCGCGCGCTGCTCTGCAGAGGCGAGCTCGAGGGCGTCGGCGCTGCGTCGGCGCATGCGGTGGAGAGCCTGGCCATGCTGGAGCGTGATCTGCCGATCATCGACTTGGAGCGCCTGGCGAGCCGCGACTCGAGGGAGAGCAAGGCGTGCGCGGACGCCATGGCGAGAGCGGCGTCAGAGTGGGGCTTCTTCCAGGTGGTCAACCACGGCGTGGGGCGGGACCTCCTGGAGGAGATGAGGCGGGAGCAGGCGAAGCTATTCCGCCTGCCGTTCCGTACCAAAGACAAAGCCGGGCTCCTCAATGGCTCGTACCGGTGGGGCAACCCGACGGCCACGTCGCTCGGGCAGCTCTCGTGGTCGGAGTCCTTCCACGTTCCGCTCCCCAGCATCTCCCGGGAAGACTGCGACTACGGAAAGCTCAACTCCTTGAGGTAGAGTACGTGCGTAAGCATGCATGCAAGCCCGTATGCATGCATGATTACTGTAGGTCGTCTGATGGCTGATGGGCAAGAGTTTTGTTACGCGAGCAGGGGAGTGATGCAGGTGGTGGCGGACGCGATGTCGCGAGTGGCGTACACGGTGGCCGGGACTCTTGCGGAGAACCTCGGGCACGAGGCAGGGGGCGGCGAGCCGGTGTTCCCGGCAGGGTGCGACGGGACGACGTGCTTCCTGCGGCTGAACAGGTACCCGGCGTGCCCGTTCGCGGCGGACTTCTTCGGCATGGTGCCGCACACGGACAGCGACTTCCTCACCATCCTCTGCCAGGACCAGGTCGGGGGCCTACAGCTCATCAAGGACTCCCACTGGGTCGCCGTGAAGCCCCGCGCCGACGCGCTCATTGTCAACGTCGGCGATCTGTTTCAGGCGTGGAGCAACAACAGGTACAAGAGCGTGGAGCACAAGGTGGTGGCCAACTCCAAGGCGGAGCGCTTCTCCATCGCCTACTTCATGTGCCCGTTGTCGGACTCGCCAGTCGGCACATACGGGGAGCCCTCGCCGTACAAGCCGTTTACCTTCGAGGAGTATAGGAGGAGTGTGCGGGATGATGTCGAGAGAACCGGGAAAAAGATTGGACTCCCCAACTTTCTCAAACGTTCAACCGTTCACGGCCTCGATGACGACATCATGGACCTCTCTTCTTAACTGTGTGAACTCAGTCTCACCGTCCGCAGTTCGGAATCAGCACACCTCAATGATACATATGCTTCTGCCTATTTTAGAAAGAAAAAAAATCAGACGACCTTGTGACATACAGGTAGTACAACGGTAGAGCCGTCGACTACAATGAATGTACCAAGATATGGTACCATTCGGTTACAATTTGTTAGGGATCCTAACCGATCGTGGTACCATTCGGTCGCACAAGAGAACGTTCAAGCCCAAGTCACACGGGTGGCTACTGGCTAGACCGGTAGTGGGATGGTGGTGGCGACATGCTGCCAGATGGCCTCTGTAGGTTTTGTCATTGATGTATATTATGGTGACTTAATACATGAGAAACATTCATAATCATGGTTCAGCGATATAGACATCTATGTTGAATCTTGTCAGCAAATATCAGTGTCATGTTGTGATTGTTGGTCTTGATAAAACCACCATGCACGTCAAATTTCTAACAAAACAGAAGAGGCACCTTCGCATCTTACCACCACTAACTCATAGTACTTGCTGGCACTGCATGGTCTGTCTGACTCCAGCTTACGATGACAAACAATTTTACCATCAATTTGGTCTTACTTGTCTTTTAGCAAAGTTGCCAGGGGTCATTTCACTGTCGAAGAGTTTACAATGCACACATTATCGAGAGTGATCCAGAGGAACAATTGTCATGAAGCTTTTCACACAAAGGGTGCGATGCAAAAATAATTGCACCAAACTCCCTATGGGTCCTTGTGCTTGTCGCTGCCTTGGAGAAGTTAACCACAAAAATTAATACCTAAAGCTCCAAGAAGGCACCATTGCAGCTCACCTGTTGTGCAGACCTTAGACTTGGGCCACCGTAAGGGACAAAACCATTGCTGCTAAGAGCATCTCCAGCCGTTCGGTCTCCCAGGGCGTCGAAAAAGAACCCCTTGGGGGCAAGCCGGCGCTAGATTGTCTCAGCCGCTTGCCTCAGGGTCGTCCCAGACGCGTATTTTTTTATTTTAAAACATCTGAATTCGGCAAAATTTGGCCAAATTCGGCATAAATTCGGCTAACTTGACATTCAATTTCAACATGTTCGGCGTTTACATAAATTATTAAAAAAACAACTACAGGGCGAAGAAGTCGCTGAGCGCCGCGAAGTCGTCGACGTCGCCGTCGTCCTCGTCGTCGTCGGCGGCCTTCTCCTTCTTGATGGCGCGGCCTCCCCTGCTGCTCCCCTGCCCGGCGTCTCCAAGGCGGACCGGTGGTGGCGGCGCGTCGTCGTCGTCGCTGTCGTCGAGGACGACGACGCCTCCCTCGTCCTGGCCGCGGCGCCGGGTTTCGAAGCGCTCGAAGGCGGCGATCTGGTGTTGCAGCTCCATCTGCGTCCAGTCGTCGCGCGCCCACTTCATGGTCGCCTCCTCGTCGATCTCCTCCTCCTTGACACCACCGACGAGCCCGGGGAGCCCCGACTCCCGCTTGACGGCGGCGAGCCCCGGCTCCGTCTTCGGTTTGATGAAGCGCGGAGGTGCCGAGGAGGAGGCGCGCCGGCCGCCCTCGTTAAT